AAAAAACAGCTGGAGGAGCATTTTACAACAAACTAATTAGGTTAATTGGCAACAGGTCAGTAACATGACTGGGTATAAAAAGAGCATTTTAGAGAGGCAGAATCACTCAGTAAAGATGGGCAGAGGCTCACCAATCTGCGAAAAACTGAGTCTAAAAATTGTGGAACAATTTCAGAAAAATGTTCCTCAGGGTAAAACTGCAAAGATTCTGAATATCCCACCATCTAGAGTACATAATATCATGAAACGATTCAGTGAATCTTGAGAAATCTCTATGCGCAAAGGACGAGGCCAAACTTCAGTATTGGATGATCGTGAATATTGGGCCTTCAGGCGGCACTGCATTAAAAACAGGCATAATTCTTCTCTGGAATTCCTTGCAAGGGCTCAGGAACACTTCCAGATTTCATTGTCTGTGAACACAGTTTGTCGTGCAATCCACAAATGCGAGTTAAAGCTGTATCATGCAAAGAGGAAACCATATGTGACCATATGTGAACACAATCCAGAGATGCCGCCGTCTTCTCTGGGCCAAAGCTCATTTTAAATGGACTGAGGTAAAAAGGAAAACTGTTCTGTGATCAGATTAATCAAAATTTTAAATTATTTTTGGAAACCAGGGACGCCGTGTGGTGCAGACTAAAGAGGAGAGGGACCATCCGGCTTATCAGCGCTCAGTTCAAAAGCTTACACCTCTGCTGGTATGGGGTTGCATTAATGCCTATGGCATGGGAAGCTTACACATCTGGATAGGCATTATCAATGCTGAAAAGTATATTGAGGTTTTACGACAACGTCTCTTTCTGGGAAGGCCTTGCATATTTCAGCAAGACAATGCTAACCCACATACTACATCCATCACAACAGCATGGCTTCGCTGTAGAAGAGTCCGGGTGCTGAAATGGTCTGCCTGCAGTCCATACCTTTCACCAATAGAAAACATTTGGCGCATCATAAAATGAAAAATCTGGCTTAGAAGACCCAGGACTGTTAAGCAGCTAGAATCCCACATCAGACAAGAGTGAGACAACATTCCTCTTCCAAAACTCCAGCAATTGGTCTCTTCACTTCCCAGATGTTTACAGACTGTTGTTAAAAGAAGAGGGGATGCTACACGATGGTAAACATGGCCCTGTCCCAAGTGTTTTGAGGTGTGTTGCTGCAATCAAATTCAAAATGAGCTAATATTTTTCAAGAAATAGTAATATATCTCACTTTCAACGTATGATATGTTGCCTATGTTCTATTGTGAGTAAAATGTGGGTTTATGAGATTTGCAAATCATTATGCCTCGTGCGCATGCGCAAGCGAGGTATACGGTAGTTTGTTTGTGTGTCATTCATTCATTCTGTCTGTTACCAGGATAGCTGCTCCGCCGGTAAAAATCAAGTCATAGAATATGGCTCTATGGGTTAAATGCCATGACCTCTTGGATTTAAGTTTGCCAGATTTTGGAGATAGAGCTTTGTTTTCGAGTTATAGCACTATTTGATTGCCACGATGGCTGCTGCGAGGAATCAAGACTTCAACGAAGAAAAAGCTCTTCACAGTGGATCGCTTTACAACTTGTGAGTTCGATTTATATCACAGCAATGGCTACTGCTGATGGCAAAACTTGACAAACGGAGCACAAAGCCAACAGTGATTCATGTAGACACACATTGCGCACTGTGTTAAATACAGCACTTCGTGGATTTTCGAACTTACTGCTGTATGAACTTAATAAAAGATCACAAATGATTTCTCCCCCCACACAGTAACAGTGTGCAAATGAACAATGCTTTCAGTTATTGCTGGGCTTCACTACGCCTAACAACTGCAGTCTCGCTAAGCGGTCCTATGAAGCTGCTTATCAACTCGTTATGTCAACCGGAGCTTTCCCAACCTAGATATTTGCGTGTTCACATAACAGAGACGGCGCGGCGTTTGTAGCATATGACCAATCGTCTACCGGCAGCAGAGCAGCATATTTTATAAATGAAGAGCAAATTATCATATTACAAAAATATGAGGAATACAGGATCATACAGATCAAAGACAATGCTCGAGAAAATAGGACACCCACCACCAGTTGGACGGGGGTGTGAATTACATTCTGTCAAAATGACGGACTGCCTTCAAAATGTTCTGTTATTGTTAAAAAAAATCTGTCAATGACGGAAAATATTCGGTTAACGCGACCTCTGTCCTGCATAATATGAAAGGTGCTTCCCTCCAAAAACCTATTGTTGATCCCACAGAGTCTGAATTGCACTAATTATTGGTCAGTGTTAAATAGACCCTGAATAGTGTGAAAGGTGTTTCCCTCCATAACTGTACATTAATGTTCATCAGACTGCCACTGGTGGGTAAATGCTTGAGTATGTCAAGCATAGATGCACAGCTAGGGCACTCTGACATGTCCACACCCAATTTTATAGCTTCATTAAGGGACATACTTGTCACTGCTGTAAGCATCGAGGCATCAGCACCTTCAGTGCATTTACTGCATTCTGTTTTTATTCACGTTTTACACAACGTCCCAACTTCATTTGAAATTGGGCTTTGTATAAGATGTACTATATTGAGCCAAATGGATTTACTGGTTGTCTGCATTTAGCCTGTCCTAATGACTTAGGAGCAGTCATATAACACTACAACCAGGAACCAACTCCAGTCGTGAGGCAAAAACCTTGGTCAAGGGAAAGGGCAGGGGTATGTCAAACTGTAACATGTACAGTGCCTAAAAATTTATTAGACCACCACCCAATATAAGGTTTATGCCACAGCTGCCCTAAATTAACAGTATTGGTAATTACAAAAATCATTTTTTACGTTTCTCGAATGGTTAATCCACCAGTATGCGCAAGCTCTTTAATTTAAATTATATTTTTAATGCTAAAATATAATGATTGTTGTTATCCACAAATTTTCGAATTCACTGTTTTACAAAAAAGCAGAAAAAAAAGTTAAGAACGTTATTATTTTTTGATTAAGATGCCAAATAACAGTTATTTACTTGTATTCCTGAACATAAAAATTACAACGTAGTTTTAGTGGTTGAATGCAAGAATGCAAGCTGTTATCAAGGCCAAAGGAGGCCATACAAAATATTAAGTTCTTTTGTTTTTTATGTGTGAATAAGGACTTATTTAGTGGTTTCAGTTTGTTACTTGCCAAAAAATAACAATATATTTTTCAGATATATATTTTTTCAGATAAATATTTTAGAAATTTGTCAAACAAGTTTTTGACAAATTTCTAAAATATTTGTGTTTTCTCGTTTTTATGACACGTGGTCTAATAAATTTGTTAAGCACTGTATGTTCTTATGGTTTTCTCACGCAAAATCAAAACATAATTTTCTAATCACCTCAAAAAACATCATCCTCAAAAAACCAACAGATAGAGGGGGTAGGAGAAACACACTGTTCAACAGATCGAACTTCTAAAACGCTCTAGCCAGGATGGGAATACCATTTGGTTCATCGGACGTTGAAGCTGGTGACTAAACCCAACTACAGACTCTACACATGTATCCCGACATACCCACTCACCGAGCGGCATGCCAATGCCATAGCCCTTGGTGTCTAAAAGGCCGCCAATCTGGGTGAGGTTGCAGTTGAGTTTGCGGTGGTACTCGTTCATGGTGCTCTCCAGCAGGAAGGCGTACTTGGAGTTGAGCACGCGGGCGATGCCTTCCTCGGTGCTCTTCACAAAAACACTGGGCTGCTTGGAATGCATGTAGTTCCACATGCGCTGGTAGGTCTGGTACCGCGAGTTCTGAAGGTAGGAGGATGGAGGGGAAGACAGATGAGAGAGATTGTGTGGATGGAGCCAAGGCGGAGTACTGCTTTATGAGAATAATCATTGGCTAGATCGTTATCGCATTAATCACTGTTATTAAGTCAAGCGCAGGCAATGCGGGGCTGTATTGAGCTGCTGGCACGAAAAAGATGGGAAATTATGCAGAAACAATAGAGTGCATCAAGCGCATTATGATTCTCTCGATAGAGTGAGACAGGAGTGAGATAATGACACAATAGCAAGCCCAGCCTTGCGCCATCACTCTGCAAACACCAACAGGCACAAATGCCACTGCATTAACATAAGCAAACACAGTCACATGACCACTTAATGCTACACAAATGAACAAAAGCTCACACCCATGCATGGAAACTCCAAACAAACTGCAAAGTCTGCCACAGACACATCTGCTGAACCACAGAAATTCCGCAAAGTGCTCTAAGCAACATAAAATGCCCCCACAAGCACTGAAATATAGGCCAAGCAACTAGAAGTGTGCATGCACATCAGCATCAATGAAATGACAGTCTGAAGCATGTGGACACAAAGCCTTCTGCTTCAGTCCATACCATGAAAAACGTCATGGTGCTCCCGCCATGGATGGTGCCGTACTCGATGTTGGTCTGGTCCGCCAGGTCATCCGGTGACTCAATGGGCACCTCCATCCTCTGCACGGTGAGAAAGGCTGCCAGGTTGGCCGTGTAGGACGAGATTATGATGAGGGTAAAGGCCCACCTGTAAGAGAGGGGCAGAGTTGAAAAAAAGATCATTTTACCTCAGTGAGCCCAATTCTTAAGTCAAAATTTCTAAAAGGCTTGAATAAGGCTGAGAGAGATTAAAAAAATACTTGGTGAACAACAATATAGCTCAGGTTTCCCAGGATATAGTCTGACTACATCCAAATTGACTAAAAACATAGTGTACACTATTCAACTAAATTGGCAAGTTGACACCAGAACACCAGATATAGGTTATTGAACCCGATGGGGTAGTTAGTCCTCTGTATCTGAGGCATCCTAGTTACTTATGAGAAGTGGGCAGCCACAGTGTAGCGCCTAAGAACCAACTCCAGTTTTAAAGCCAGAGCCTCAGTCAGGGGCAATGATTGAAGTGTTCCGTTCGTGCATGCTTACTAAGAGTGGGGGAAACTGGCGTGTCCCAAGGAAATCCACATGAACACTAGGAGGGCATGCAGATTCTGCACAGAGAGGACCTGGCCAGCTAGCGATCAAACCTGGAATCTGTCAATTGCGAGGCAACAGTGCTAATCACTGCACCACCTAGCCGGCTTTTTTTTTGCCTTGTTTTTCATCCACATCTACCGCATCTTTCAATTAAACCTCTGGAGAGTCAATTGGAAAGCAATGACAACCCGACAGCAAACAGTTGGGGAATTCAGCCATTTTTAACAAAACAAAAATTTATGAGAGGTGCATTTGTCATGTTTAAAACCACCACTTGAGCCAAAGCTGAGTAAAGCTACAATCAAATTGGTGCTATCAATATTTAATTATGAGTGCTCATCATTCTCTATCTTACTCTACATGATTCAGACAGACTTGCAGTGCATAATTCATGAAGGAGGTTTTGCTAGCATTGACATCAAATAAATAATACATAAAAACATTTGCAAATACTATTAGTTATTCATCTTAGGATAATCTTGATATTTACTGATGTACACAAAATTAGCCTGCCATATCCTCCATTTTATGTCCAGTGTGATATATGTAGTATTCTGCATGCAAAACATGAGCTTGATGTTGTCCAATAGACCGCTGAAGTTCTAGGATGAACTGTGGGCTCAAAAATTACTAGCACCCCTGACTGGCAATGCACAAATAATACTATAAAATATTCTACAAAATATTTATTTCGAGAAACACTAAATAACAACATTTGAGAATTACTGTACAATATTAAAGGGATAGTGCACTTTTTTTTGAAGTGGGGTTGTATGAGCTACAAATTGCCACTACTTATATTAGATGCAGTAGAAAGCTCTCTGATCTCCTCCAGGTAGCCGCACCAGGGCATAGTGCTGGGTGGAAATTTAGGCGATACACTGTTGTGAACGGAAACACAGAAACAGCGTATTTTCACGGCCTAAAAGAGGTCCTACTTGGAAATAATACAACATTTCAATTGTACGCTATATTTAAAAAAAAAATTACAGCACTTTAGCTGCTCGGAAAAAAACACAGTTGCTCTTGAACTAACCAACTGACGTATTCCTGCGCGAGGCGCATCGTAGTTCACTGAGCGGTGTAGCGATCAGCTGTTTGCGTCACAGTAAAGCTGCTTGGACAAACGCGTGTATTCACGTCTTCGCATTGACTTTGAATGTAATCTGTGTGCCAAAAACTTCGCGTCCAGTGTGCAAGCGGCTTAACTGCGGTTGCGAGGTCGGACGGCCGTTTAACTTGTGCAAATATTTCGAAAATGGTCCGTGTGTGTCGCTTTCTTGGACGTGAAAGCAAAGCTGTATCCTGGTGCACTTACAGCTTCCACCGCATTCCTCTGCGGAACATTGGACTTGTAGCTGTGGCTAGTTGCCTCAACACGAATATTGATACGCCACCCGTATCCCTAAAAGAACTCAGTGTTTGCAGCATTCATTTTTCCAAAGAGGATTTCGTTTGGCTATACTCAGGGAAATCTCAACGGTGCACGCTGAAGAGCACTGCTGTACCCAAGCATCAGGTAAAAGAGTGAAACACCTGTGAAAATGTCTAATGTAACATTGCAGCACAAATTGATATCGCATAGGGTCTACGCAGCCACATACTGCGTATCTGCTCTGCTGGTTATTGTAGGGATTTTTTATTTTATTTTTTTTTAATTTGAGACGTGATTCTATGCCATCGAAAATCCGGCTCTGCCGCAAACCGCTCGGAGTCTGACCCAAACAGGTGATCGCTACAGCACACAGTGAACTACGATGCGCCTCGCGCAGGAATACGTCAGTTGGTTAGTTCAAGAGCAACTGTGCTTTTTTCCGGCTAAAGTGCTGTAATTTTTTTCAATATAGCGTACAATTGAAATGTTGTATTATTTTCAGGTAGGACCTCTTTTAGGCCGCGAAAATACGCTGTTTCTGTTTCCGTTCACAACAGTGTATCGCCTAAATTTCTACCCAGCACTATGCCCTGGTGCGGGTACCTGGATGAGATCAGAGAGCTTTCTGCTGCATCTAATGTAAGTAGTGGCAATTTGTAGCTCATACAACCCCACTTCAAAAAAGTGAACTATCCCTGTAATGTTCCAATGGAACCAACCAAAATCATTTACTGATTTTATCAAGAACCAATTTCATCCAAATCAAGGTTTCACAATCAATGGCACCCTTAAAGATCATTGTAAATAACGTCTACCAAAATTAAATCAGGTATTAAATTCCACTTATTTAAGTTTTATCAAAGTGTTATGGAACTATATTGAGCCATTACATCACTTTCTTTTTCACTAGGGTATAAAAATGAAGGAACACACATGCATATCCCTTTGTCATCCAACACTATGAAGTGAACAAAACAACTGTCAGTTCAAAAGAAGTAGATGGTCATAGACCTTCATAAATCTGGTAATGGCCACAAGAAAATTCCGAAACGATTGAATATGCCACTGTGCACTATCAGGGTAACTATTGAAAAAATCAAAAGATATGGAACTGTTGAAAACCTCAAAGGTAGAAGATGCAACTGCAGTTTGCTCCCCAGGATACTGAGGAGGATGGTGAGTGAAGCAACAAAATCCCAGATAATCACTGTAAACGAATTGCAGGCCTTGGTGGCATCTTGGGGTCACCAGGTTTCAAAAAGCACCATCAGGCGCCACCTCCACAACCACAGGCTCCTTGGAAGAGTTGCCAGAAGAAGGTCTTCTCTGACCAGAAGACACAGAGGCAAGCGCTTGGAGTTTGCCAAACATTAAAATTATGAGTGGAACAAGGTGCTTCGGTCAGATGAAACCAAAATTGCATGTTTTGGTAGATAGAGCATCGGCATATTAGAGAGAGATGCACAGAGATGCAAACAAGGAGAAGTGCCTCATACCCACGGTGAAATATGATGGTCAGTCATGTTTTGGGGCTGTTTTAATTCTAGGGGTCCAGGGGCACTGGTGAAGACTAATGGCATAATGAACTCCACCAAGATTCAGGATATTTCGACTGACAATCTGGTTGCCTCTGCCAGAAGGCTGGGACTTGGCCATAGGTGGACTTTTCAACAAGACAATGAAGCAAAGCATACTTCAAGATCCACACAGAAATGGCTCTGTGACAACAAATCCAATGTTCGGCAATGGCCATCTCAGTTGACCAGACCCCGATCCAATCGAAAACCTGTAGGCTGAGTTGAAGGAAGCAGTTCATAAACACAAGCCAAAGAATGTGAAGGATCTTGAAAGGATCTGCTTTACGGAGTGGTCCCAAATAACCACAGATGTGCGCCTTAACCTTGTCAAAAATGACAAGAAAACATTCCATGCTGTTATCCTTTCCAGAGGTGGTTACACTAAGCACTAGATGAAGGGTGCCAGTAACAATGAAACCTTGATTCTGTTGAAATTTATTTTGTATTAAATGATTGTTATGATTTTGATTGTTTCCTTCGAAACATTACTAGAGCAACATATTTCACACGTTTGAATATTATGTTTCTCTATTATTGTTCATATTTTTGTATTGTTTGTGCATTGCCAGTCAGGGGTGCCAGTAATTTTGGAGCCCAGTGTATGTGTTCCAGGCCTACTAACACAAAAGCTTGCAGGCTACCTTTGGTATAATGCACTGTATGCATGGAAGAGATGTTTATAATTAAACACAATCCACGGAGCATAAATAGATGAATGAATGAACAACATTCTGCCCTGATGCTAAGGAGAGAGAGAAAGGGGCTTCACAGACAGAGCCAACAGGCTAACAGACAGATGCAACAGTCAAACACAAGATTTGCAAAGCCTGCTTAACCGTTCTTCCCGCTCTTCCTTGCTCCCCATACTACCACACCTCTTCCCGCCCTGCACACTCCCCCATTACCCCTCCCCACTGGGCTCCCACACTCACCAGACCCCACTGACACATCGGGTGGACAGGGCCCGGGGCATGATCTCAGAGCCCTGTTGCATGAAGCCCCCCACAGGAAACCACAGGCTGTTCCCCAGGGTGTACTGGTTCTCCAGCATGTCCCTGCGCTCCCGCAGGCAGGGGTGTGGGTTGTACCACTCATACGGGCTAAGCCTGAGGGGACAGGGATGAGAAAATCAAACCAGGCGCACAGTGGCAGTGAGGCACTCCCATCAAAGCAGTGTTACTAGCACTCCTGGCTGGGCTTGCTCTAGAAATAAAATCGAAAATGAAAAATAACATTATTGCTTGATGTAAATACCAAATGCCAACATGAGAGAAATACTGAACTTAATCAGTGTTTCAATGGAGCCAAATTTCTTTATTAATTGAATTAAAAATCCATTTCCTCCCAATCATGGTTCATAATGTATGGCACCTCAAAAGATTCTAGTAAATAAAATCTACCAAACTTAAACCGGAAATGAAATGGATCTCATTTAAGTTCATCTAAGTTTTAAGGAACTACATTTTTGGCATGACATCACTTCCTGTTTGACTATGGCATAAAATAATGAAATACGAATGCGAGCATCAAACAAAATGCAGAAAATAAAAGAACTGGTAATTCAAAAGAGACAGATGGTCGTAGACTTTCAAAAATCTGGTGAAGGCTACAAGAAGACAAAAAAAAAGATTAAGTATTCCACTGAGCACTGTAAGGCTATTATTTAAAAAAATAAAATGTATATAACAGTTGGAAACCTGACAAGCAGAGTAAGCAAATGCATTATTCTCCCCAGGATAGAAAGGAGGATGGTGAGAGAAGCCAAAAAAATTCCCAAGAATTACTACTGCAGGACATGGTGACATGTGACATCTTAGGGTCATCAGGCTTCAGAAAGCACCATCAGGCAGCACCTCCATAACCACAGGCTCTTCGGAGGGTTTGCAAGGAGGAAGACTTTTCTGGCCCAAAATATACAGGTAACAACTCACACATTGCCAAAGGTCATTTGAATTATGACTTCATAACTGGACCAAGGTGCTGTGGACAGATGAGACTAAAATTTGACCTTTTTGACAGATACAACATCAGCATGTTTGGCATCAAAACAAAAGATGTGTACAAGATTGGCATCTCATACCCATGGTGAAATTAGGTGTTAGAGCAGTGATGTATAGGAGCTGTAGTAATTCAAGGGTTGCCAGGGCAAT